TAGCAGAAAACTCTTGGAAAGTACTTTTCACACCATGTGATGCGTATTGAGAGCATCTTAATTTCCAGTGAAAGTAAATCTGAAAGACAAATAACTCAAGATACTTGTGTTCTTGTTGTCTGCTGCTAATCTGGTGGATGAGTGGTTTCCTCTTTGACAGCTCACTTTGTTTTTTCAATCACTAAAGGCTGTGATTGTCCTTTCTTTCCTGTCCTGACATTTTACTCCTTTATTCCGGCCAAAGTTCACTTGTTAGAAGGCAAAAAAAATTTTTTTAAAGCCACTTATCCATGGAAAACATTTGGTGATAAGTGTAGGCAAAGATGTATTGCAAAATGTTAAATGAAAATGCAGCGTGAAGAGCACTGTTTTGTAACAAGCTTGTGTCCAAAGAAAGCGGGAAATAATTGTCGTCTTAAATCTTTGGATTATGAAAAGCTAGGCCAGATGGTTGAACCAGATGTTTGAAACATGTAATATATGTTATCAGGTCTGAAACTTGCGTGCAATTTGCTATGTGCTATTGCAGTGCATGTTTATCTAGGTCCATTGTAATGTGTATTTCACGGAGCTACACATGCTTCTATGTACCCCTGCTCCTATTTCATGTTGCTTGTCAAGCTTATTTATTGAATATTGCCACTATTTTCAATATAATAGAAGTTACTTTAAAAAGTCTTAATTTTTATAAAAATGTCACCCCATATAACTCATTTAATATTTTCTCACGGAGCCCCTGAACCCATTGTGCACACTTTGGGAAACCTTCATTTAATATTTTCTCACGGAGCCCCTGGACCCATTGTGCACACTTTGGGAAACCCTACTGAAAGGTATTCAGCTATCTGTGGGAGTTAAGGCTGCACTAGTGCTGCCTACACTGACTTTTAGTTGGGGATATCAAATGTTGTTAAGTGTACGTGGCTCTTCACGTGAGTTTGTTATTTAGCCATATTTTACCTATTGTTGCAGCATGAAGACATAGAAGCAAATGTCTGCTCCCCAACTGTTGTGCTACTGTGCTAACCTTAATGTGTTACTTTTCTGTAGTGTGAACTAGTCTTTTAGAGCTGCGTTACAAATATTAGAGGGTTAATTGTGTTCTACAGGATGTGCTTTCATTGCCTTTACCGAGAATGTGTTAAAGAATGGATTCTTCAAACCCATATTCCCATGAGAAGTCACACCGATATCCATAGAAGTACATTTGAGTGAGAGCTACTTCTGAATAAAGCTTTGCAGAATTGGTTCCTATTGTCTCAGTTTGAGAAGTTATCTACCGTATTTTCCGGCATATAAGACGACTTTTTATGCTAAAAAACATCCCCCAAAAATCGGGGGTCGTCTTATACGCCGGGTATACAGGCAGTCCCCGACTTGCAGGTACGAACGGGACTTTTCTCGCCCCGGAGGACACAGACTGCGGGACCTTGCGGTCCCGCCGCCCATGTACTCCGGGGCGAGAAAAGCTGCTCCGCGTCTCCCGGGTCTGCAGACCAGGAAGACGCGGAGCAAAGCCGCGGAAGGGCTCAGGCAGCGGGGCAGCCCAGGCGCGCCTGGGCTGCCCTGCTGCCCGCGCCCCCCCCCACTCCCCCCCACGGCTTTCCTGGTCTGCAGACCAGGGAGACGCGGAGAAAGGCC